TTTTTTAAGTGAGCCATTGTCATTAAACAGTTGGAACACAGCAGTGATATATATTAAAGATGGAGATTTTAACAATTAAAAAGCAGTGTCTTGTACCAAGGAAGCTCCTGCAAAATGTTTGCTATAGTGTGATCTTACCACAGAAAGCATCTGTTCATGTTAGAGTTGCCTTCTTATGTTTATCTTAATCTTCTTTTATACATACTGGGCTCCCTTTCACTTGCTTGCTTATGGCTTACTCTACTCAAGTTGCTAAAGATACCAAAATGAGGCCTGAACCAACATGGGGAAGATAAAATAACATTTGCGGACTAAGGAGTTGGACATAACCTATGGACAGGGAGCCATTGTTAGGTGTAGCCCATGGAATTCATTTGACTAAGACAGGAAGATAGAAACATAAAATGTAAATTATAAATAAAATAAAATAAAATAAAATGTAAAAATATACCTGATACTGATCAGATATAGATCAGGTCCCAAGTGTTCAGCAGTGAAAGACAAGATTGATATGAGCTCTACCTTGAGTGTAGGTAACACTCATTTAATTCTGGGATTCCTCTACTTTTTCTGTGACTGAGACAAGGACTCACTCTCTCAAGATTTCATTTCCTTACCTCGCATGTTGGGTGAACAATTATACTTACATTGTAGGGTAGTTGTATTTGTCACCTATCAATGGTTGGGACAAAACACTCGACATACAAACTTTAAAAAGGAGAAGCTTGTTTTGGCACATGATACCAGAGGTTTCCATCCCTGCTCACCCAGTTCCACTTCTTTAGACCTGTGCAAAACAGAAATGGCAGAAAGATCTGGCGGAGGAAAGCTGCTCACGTCGTGGCAGGCAGGAATCAGAACAAAAGAGTCTCTGAAGAAACAGTGCCCTTCAAAAGCTTACCCCCAGTGACCTACATCTTCTAAGTTGGCCCCACCACCTGACAGCCCATTCAGCTAACAACGTCATCAATGGGTTAATCAATTGATGTGGTTATCACCCTATGATCCATTCACCACTCCAGGTCCCTCTCTGGACATTGTTGCATGGGGGACCAAGCCCTTAACACATGCATCTTTGGGGGACATTTCATATTTAAACCATAATAGTAGTGGTTAGGTTTAAATGAGTTAATGTGTTAAGTTCTCCAAGTAATTGGCGTATAGTGAATACCTCATTGTCCGTACAATGAACTGTCATCTCCCAAGTGGTTGTGAGACATACACATCTGGTTTACTTGAAGCAGTGACAGCTGAAGAGCACCTGCGCTCCTCTGTGCACTGAAGCACTATTCGTAATAGCCAAGAAGTGATACGCGTAAGTGTCCATTAACTAACGAATGGGTAATGAAAATGTGACCCATGTACACAATAGAATGCTACAAAAAAGAACTAAATCCTGTCATTTCTAACAGCACGGATAGAACTGGAAATCCCTGTAAGTGAAATAAGACAAGCGCAGAAGCATGAACACTTGGGACCTGGTCTATTCATGATCTTTTTTATATGTGGAATCTTAAAAAAGCTGACTATGGAGAGTGGGACAGTGATGACCTCAGCGAGGAAGAGCTAGGGAGGGAGACGCTGGGAAAGGTTCATCGGTAGCTATTAAATTAGTTAGGAAAAATAAGTGCTAGTGTGCTGCTGCATAGCAGAATAACCATAGATGGCAATAATGAACTATTTATTTTTATGTATTTAGTACAGGGTCTGCAGGGTCTCACTACACCGACGGATTCATAAGTGATTCTCCTGTTTTCAGGTCCCAAGCGTTGGGATTACAGGAGTGTGCCACCATTCCCAGTTTCAATCACCATCTCAGCACGCCCTGGAGGTGGGGCTGGTACCGGCACACTGGGGATCGAACCTCAGCCACTGCACTCTGCCTAAGCAGGCGCTTTAGTCCGCTAAGCAATCCAGCCGGCCCCAACTCTGTATTTTAAAAATGAAAGATTTTGAATGAGGATATAGGTATGTTTAATCCTATTTAAACATTACACAATATATACATGTATTAAAACATGTTTGATGTACAATATTTTTATGTATTAATTTTAAAAAAGAAAACTTGAAAAAGCAGAAAGGAGCTGAACTTTAACTGAATAGAGATAAGCCAGGTAGGGGTAGAGGAAGCTGTTCCTTCCTACTTTTGCGTCTTACTTCAGTTATCCTTACTTCAGTTATCAGTACCTTCCCCCAACCTCTTGTCCACATTCACCAAGTTGTTCCCCTGTCACTGGGGCAGAGTAGGAAGGTACTGAGGGTGACTCCTCACTTAGCCTTTCCGATAACACTTTAGAAAAGAAAAACTAGAAAAGAACCAGATGTCCCACTAGCTGCCTTCCCTGTCCCTTGGTGGTCACATGAACTGGTCCTGGCAAGGAGATGCAGGCAGGTTCCCTGGGGGTCGGGGAGTAGCTCTGCCTTAACCCAATGGATGTAGCTCATACTGGTACAGCAAGTTCGTAGGACTGTGATTTCTGCTCCCTGCTGGCTCGAGGACACTGGGGATTGAACCTAGGGTGTGCTATCACTGAACTAACTGCACAGCCAGCCCTTTTTTCATGACAGGTTGCCTAGGCGGGCCTCAAACTTGTGATCTTCCTGGCTCTGCCTCATAGTAGCTGCAATTACAGGCATGTGCCACCATGTCTAGCTATAAGACTGACTTCTTAAGGATAGTCTTGATCATTATACAAGCCCTGGAAAGTCTCTGAACTCCTTGTCATATGAACACACACACACACACACATGCACACACCTACTTAAGTCACAACTAGGATTTTTTAATTTTGGTGCAAGAAATATTTTTGATATTCTGATTGATCTGGTTAATCCAGGTATATTATGGATAACAAAAAGCAGCCTTAGCATGCTTATACCCAAAATAGAGCACTTGAAATTAACGTTCCTTTTCAGACATTTCCACCACTGATACTGTCATTTAGTGGAGATGCTGTGGAAATAAAAATTCAACTTTGAATTATTTTTGCGATTCCAGGATCTCCCTCTGTTCTTTTCCCTTCCCTCCTTCACAGATGTTTTTGACCCCTAATAATGTGCCAGCCACTGTGACAACCACTAGGAATAAACCAGTGGACAAATCAGACCTAGTCCCAGATCTTATATGCTAATATTAGATCATACCCCGCCCACATACAACTTGTACACCATCTCACATTTTAGTAAATGGTGGGAGGAGAGGTTTTTGGTGCAGTACAAAGCAATGAGGGTTGACTTGGTCAGGAAGGTCAGAAACATGAAGACTGAGCTATATGAGCTCAACAGAGTGTAGGAATGAGTGACGAAAACGAGACAGCATTTCACAGTCAGGACAGCATGTACAAGTACCCTGTGGAAGAACTGGATGGACCAAAGCCTTGGTGAGTGGACGGAGTAAGAGATGAGGGCTATTAAATCAGGTGAGAGTTGAGTGGCCGTGACACGGTGCAAAGGATGGTACGGGTTATATTAAGAACTTTTAGGGCGAGGGAGATAGCTCAGCAGTCTAAGTGCCTGCCTGGCAAGCATAAGGTCCTGAGTTCAATCCCTAGTAACGCATGCTAAACCAACCCTGGAACTCTAGGTGCTCTGTGCGGGCCCTGAAACCAGACGTAGTGGCCCATACCACATCCCAGCACTGGGGAGGCTGAGACAGGAGGATCACTACCGTCTGCACTACACAGGGATGCTCTGCATCAAAAACAAAACAAAACAAAAAAACCCCTTTATATTAATAGCAGCAATAGGATGTCACTTAAGAGTCCTAAGCAAAAATGTAACATGGTTAAGTGGGTTTTATATTCACAGTTTATCAAAAGTATAGTGTTCTAAAATGTTTTAAAATTCTCCACACACACACTTGAATTTTCTAAGTAGGCCTTTCCCCTAATCTGCCCTCCCTCATCTCCAGTATGTGTAGAGACACAGTACCCTTGGGGAGAATGATGGCAGCAATGAGTTGACTCACTTGGGATGTATTCCAGTTTTTAGCAAAGCTGGAGTAAAGCGGTTAATTCCCCAGTGAAGTGCTCTGTGTCTAGATTGCTTAGTATTTTACCTTGTGAAACTGAATTACTTTAGGATCTTTGCTGGGCCTCTCCTGATTGCCTTCTCCATGTATGTCACAACCTGGAACCTTTTCCAGACGGGTGGAATAATTACATGACTCGCCTTGGTTGCTTCCCATCCCTCATGGGTCGCCATCCTCTCTCCAGTATCCTGACAACCAATTTTTCATATATTTTGTCCAGTTTTTTCTTTTTTTATGCTGTTGATGTAGGTGGTACTGACGACTGAATCAGAGCTTCAGCACTAATGAGCTCTATCCGCAGGCTTTTTGGTAAAAATTTGAGACAGGGTCTTGCTAAACTGCTGAGTTCCTCAGGCTGGGCTTGAACTTGTAATCAACTGCTTCAGTTTCCCAAGTGCTAAATTACAGGCATATACCAGCGTGCCTGGCTTGTCTGTATTTTTTAACTATTTAGAAGTTTATAGTCATTGTACTTATTACCTTTCACAATCACTGTAGAAATTCATTCCAGTAATAATATACACACGCATTACAGCTGGCACAACATTTCAACATAATTTCTTGATTGTTTAGAATCTTTCTATTATAAAAGGAATATAAGGGGCCGGGGAGATGGCTCAGTAGAATAAGCGCTTCCCCGGCAAGCGCAAGGGTCTGAGTTCAATCCCCGGTTCCACCAAAAATAAATAAAATGAATATAAGTGCTGGCCAAATAGCTCAGTGGACTAAAGTACCTGCTTAGGCAGAGCGCAGCGGCTGGGGTTCGATCGCAGTGTGCCAAGCCAGCCCTGCCCCTGGGCACACTGAGACCGATTGAGATGGGGCGTGGTGGCAGGCGCCTGCAAGCCCAGCACTTGGGAAGCTGAAAACAGAAGAATCGCTACAAGTCTGATCTACATAGTGAGACCCTGGAGACCCTGTGCCCCGTAGACCCTCTACATATATATAATGTAGTGACAGTTTTTGTTAGACATACTAACCTGTGAGATTATGCAGTCATTGATTACATACAATTCCAGAGTCCAGAAACTATTAAAACAGACAACAGACATTTGTCTCTGGCTTTTTATTTTTTATTTTACTTTACTTTTTGTTTTAATGTATTTAATACAGGGTCTAGAGTCTCACTACATAGATCAGACTCATACTGATCCTCGTTTTCAACCTCCCAAGCGCTGGGATTACAGACCCATGTCACCACGTCCAATTTCAATCACCATCTCAGTGT